TTTGCTCTTATAAAAACAAGATTACTATACCAGTTTCATAGTTACAATAGATGTAATTATTACTTGGAATGAACAAAAGTATTGCAAGGCATGGACACGTTAAATTCATTTACCTTATTGTATCATCATAGACATGAAATAATACAAAGGGGATATAGTATAAGAAAGAGTAATGACAATTACAAATCATATTTGGTTTCAGAGAGACCAAAAAACTTCATTCGTAGTATATCATAAACAGTGGTAATGAATTGAAAAGTTACACTTGAGACATTTAAAGATCATGGAGTACTGTAATCTTTCAGGACACCTTTTGCATTTTCCATCCGACGCAATGCCTTGAGCAAATGAGAGAGGGTGTTGGTGATGGCTGGTGTTGAAAATACCACCAAACTTTATATTCACGAAATCATTAACGCCCTTGGCCAAGTAGCAATCATCATGTGTCTCGCTCTTAAGTATTGACGGAGCACAAGCGGTATGTATGGACTGAGCACAAGATTGACAATGATAGAAAGATTGATGAGGATTCAAATCTTCCTCACAGATTTCACAAAAGTATTCACTCTTGTGGTTCTCAATCGGGAGGTAACTTAGTTGCATTGGATGCTCGTCATACTTGTGCCTCACTGTTTCGGCTAATAACAAAGCACATTCCGGATGTATAACAATACCACAAGTGATGCATAAGAATGAAAGTCCACGCTTATAAATGGATCCGAGACAGATATGACAAGAATTACGACCGATTCCTTTTGTTTGAACTAGTGAAAGAAGGTGATTGGGGTGAGCTTTGTGTGTGATTTCTTTAGGTATAAACCCACATGTAACATCCACATAGTATTCACATCCGACGCAACCATACACAAATCCGTTGCAATGTAGATAACAAACCTTACAATTGAACACACCGAAAAAGAAAGGAAGATCGTTTGAGAAGATGAAATTGAGGGTATGTTGCGGGTGGCCCGGGTGGTTTTGTATTATTGGGGGGAGTCGAGTGCACCACTCATGGAGAGCAAAGTCATTGCAACTCTGGTGAGGGCATTTGTAAAAAGGCATGGTGGACATGATTGGTCTGAGACATGCGTTGCATAGCAGTTGGGTCTTTTCCATTGGGTCATGACACTTTATTAATAACAAAGAATTTGAGGAGGAAAAGGAGGTTTGCCCATGATCAACTAGAATCAGAGGGTGTTGATGACTCTTGTGTGTTAGGCGATCATCCACCTTAATCTTATGATGATGATCATCATCATTAGTGGTTTGTTGGAAAAACAAGTAGTGTTTTGGTAGGCTGTATGTTTCATCAGGGAATGGGAGATGGAGAAGACCAGGATGGTCAACATCTTCATAATTTTTAATGGTTTTGCTAAGGTCTAAGCATCATAAATTGGGAATTAGAATATGTATAATATGAAAACAATTTAAGTAGTAAATGATATATAATAATAATTAAGGAAAGAAAGCAAAGAAACTGTGATTTACCAGCACGCGGAGGCACTCTTACGCAGTTCAGATGGACGTAGTAGAGACATTTATCGCATTTGTAACTCCAAAGATCCTCTCTACGATAAAAATCATCACCACATACTCTGCATCTGGGAAAATGTTTAGCTTTTTGATCTTCTCTGGGGAAGGAATATAAAATGGTGAGGGGATGGGTATGATAAAAAGAACCATGTGTTCTCTGTTGGATGAGCAATTTATGTGGTAGGAAAGCACATTCAGTGTGTATGGTGAAGCCACCACAAGTGGTACTACATTGATAGAAGATGCCTTTATGTTCCTTCCCACAAGCACTACAGAGGCATAAAATGGGCTTAGGGATGGAACATATTAGCAAGTGAGGGTGGGAAGGATGATAGATGATATTTTTTCCTACTTCCAGGGCACACTTGACATCAATGTAGAAATTAAAACAGTCATCACACTTGTAAAACATTTGTGTTTCTGGATACATGTCACTGCTCTCACAAATCTGACAGATGCAATTATAAGCCGGTGCCAGTTGTTGGATAAGAGGATGTCTGTGTAATGTTTTCTCCAACCTTGGTGGCAACTCACCACAAAATTTGTGAAGTGAGAAGACCTTCTTATCATCACATGATGATGAACAAATGGTGCATGTGTAGCAGTACCTATGGTACATATGGATTATTTCCCTACACCTCCAACATGTGGCACCTCCAAACCCTTCTTTTTTTGTAACCAGATCACCACCCTCCTCATCTTCTTCTTTATCTTCTTCATATTGTAGCTGCAAATCAATGAGCTTTAGTGGATGAGGGTGTTCGAATACTTTCAGTGTCTCCATTATTATCATTATTATATATATCTCTCTCTTTATAATAATATATAGAGATGTTACACTTCCCAGCTTATTAATTTATAGCAAAGAAAGAGCATATATGCGTGCCAAATTCACAAAACTAAGCAGGATTCCTTTCTTCCTTTCTTTCTTTCTTTTTTTTTTTTTTAATATCTTTGGCTTTTTTTAATTTGTTATTCGCTTTTCCTCTTCCAGAGAAGATATCCATAAAGTTTCTTAAAAATTGTTTCTCATACTATTTTTTTAATTTGCCAACCAAGTTCCCTATATGTCCTGTGCAATATGGAATTCCTGATAATTAATAACTTTATATCAGCAAGTGGCATAACTTATGATGTATTTTATGAATGTGGCATAACTTATGATGTATTTTATGAATGTGCAGTTGATAAAAAAAAAAAAATACATATGATACTGTAATGTGGACATTCTTTTCTCAAAATCATGATTATTCTAGATTTGGTTTCTGGTTTTGTTCTTTACTTAGTTTCATACCTAAGGAATAAACACACAGAAGCATAGCATAATTCTTTTCCTTTTTCTTTATCTTTAGTACCAACTCTCCTCTCTAATAAGCAAGGAATATTTTTTAAGTCCCAATTTTAAGTTGTACGTTAGTAATTAGTCTTGTTTTATTAATTGGTATGGAGATGGTTAGAGTTGACTCATATAGCTTAATTAAATGAGTTTAAAACAAAGCAAAGCCAACTGGTGGAGTTGACTGTTTTTTATGACGTTAATCTAATTTAAGGGTAGAATATATAAGATTATGATTATGCAGAAAAGTTAACTTGTTTCAGTATATATATAATATAATATGAATAAAACATGATTACATTTTCTTCAAGCTAAATCCTAGAGGTTTATAGTGTTGTATTGTACTTTTGACAGGATTGAGCCAAATAGCAGTCAAGTCAACCAAAACCTTGCACACTCCATTTGCAATCAATCAAGATTATTTGGAGCAACTAAAGAAAATGAAGTTGTTTCTGTTTTAAAATGGTCATTTTGCAATCAATTGAAAGCTAGTTTTCAAATGTGAAGGTTTTTTCGGGAGGGCTTTTTTGAAATTTGTTTTTGTTTAAAACCAGAAAATTAATGCTAATCCTTCTACAAGGGCCAAATAGGAAAAAAAAAATGCAAGGTCTTTTTAAGAAAATTAAAAATTGAGGTTCAATCCCGAATATATATATATATATATATATATATATATATATATATATATATATATATATTGGGTATCACTTGTATGTTTAACATTTTACTAATGGTTATTCTTATATTTCATTATTTTTTCAAATCTCTATAGAAAACTCTTTCTGTGCTTTCATAAACAACCAAATATTTTTATTCAAATATGTAGTGCAAATGTTTGAGTAAGTTAAAAAAATGTGGAATTCGACTTCAATGACCAAGTACTCTGGGAGGAACTCAAAAAGATTATAACATCCTACTTTCAAGCAAGCAGTTAAAGCATTCTACTTACATTATTCTTTTAAATTTTTTATCCAATTAATTTATAGCCCTGAAATTTCTTTGTATTCAAGTGTCATTGCTTTAATCAACTGAAGATATATCAAAAAAATGAATCGGTGGTTTATGTTTTTGAGAGAAATAAATCTTTATATATACACAATTTCTCATTTGCCTTTTAGCTTTTCGTTCGGTTATGTTATGGTGATGGAATCATATGAAAATTATTATTTATTAAGATTGCAAACAAATCAGACACTAAACATTTACCTTACACACTCCATTTGCAATCAATAATCAAGATTATTATGATCAACTAAAGAAAAGGAAGCTGTTTCTGTTTTAAGATGGCCATTTGCAATAATCAGATGAAAGCTAAATTTAAGATGAGTATTTGCAATCAGATACATTATATGCATTCAAAGAAAAGAAAGATGTTAAAACCCAACCTTGATTCTTCTTGAATGGCTTCAATTTTGAGTTCTGGTTCAAGGATTCAAGCTCGGCGCTTGTAACTTCACCTTGTGGGCTTCAATTTCGACTTTCGAGCTTCATGGGTTGAGTTTTTTTAGGGTGCGATTGGTTTTCTACTTTTCTTTCAGTGGCTGAAGGTTTCTAGGGTTTACACTTTACGTCTTGATCAGACCTTTGAGATCGGATCCCGAATGAATATAAGTTGGAAAGTTTGTTATTGTTGACGATCATATTAGTTTGTATAAAAAACTAAAGGAAAATGATATAGATTTCAAACTGGTATGAGGTTTTTTAGTTTATTTTGTTGACGCCAAAAAAACTTAAGAAAAATTCTCTGCTAATAAATAAAAATATTTCATTAGAATGAAAAAATGTTGTAAAAAAGGTTATAAAACCGGAGTGCAAATGGTTGGACAGAACATGTTCTCTGCTAATTTTCTGTTTTATATATATTAAAAGCACTAAAGTGAGTTCGATCCAAATAACAACCATAACAAACATCCCTTGACTAATAGCAACAATCCTAAATCTTCATACAATTTTATGAATGAAATATCCAATTAGGAAGAAAACCTAAATTTTTATTCTGTATTTGCCGATAGAAAACCCCCAAATTGCAAGATATGACATGATATTATCAAGCATTCATTACAAGATATCAGCTTGTAATATAACAAAAGTCTTAAAACCAGACAACTAAAATATGACACATGAACAAGATATTTTTGCTTACATTTCAATTATTAGTCTCATGTATTTTGCTAAACAATACTCTATACTCTATATAAACTAAAACCACAACATAAAATTGGTCTTATATGTTTATATATATTTCATTATTAGACATTAAATCTATATATTTTTCTTGAAAAACAAAACTTCCCAATTAGTGGGATCTTGCTATAATTTGTATGTATATACTCTAGTTAGTGACCGAAATATCCACATAACAATTATCCTGCAACTATCTGCAAGAAATAAAAAATCATAATCAGATAACTTCTAAAGTTCTAGATTATATCTAGTTTGAACAAATGAATTCAAAAATAATGAAAAATTTAGTGAACAAGTAAAAATATACTAAACACAATCTTTGCTGATGACTAGAATGTGTTCTTATAAAAAAAAACTGTATTTTTTTTATTTGTCAATTAGGTTATGTAAATTATCTAATTACTGAAAAATATCTTAAAGAATCTTACGATAGAATAAATTAAAAAAATTGAGTTGATAACTGAGTAATTTTAAAGTAAAAAGCTTGTTATAAACATCTATACGCATGACTTTTGAACTTAAACGGTTTTGAATTTGTATATGACAAAATATTTCATTCTACATGATTCAAAGCAAGATTTTTAACTTAAAAAATCAAATCTAAATGTAAAAAAGCTACTGATACCAATAAATTTTCATGAGTTTGTATTATATAACTTAACTTAATCATGCATATATTTTTTTTTTATTAAAAGTACCTGATAAATGAATGGATCAGTTCTCCCTCCAGCTCCTGACCTTCTCACCTCCTCTTTCTTCAGCAACCTATCATTTAAGTATCAGTTATATTGTCATATACCTTAAGAATATTTTTCCAAACAAGTATCAAGTAATGCATTTTTGTGAATTTTCATTGGTTGAATGCATGGTTTCTTGAATTTTTATGGAGGAATGCATGTATTTCTTTTAATTGCAGAAAACCCCTTTGATTTATGTATTTGAACAGAAATCGGGCAATCTAACGATTAAGAAAGGAAGCCATGCCACGTGGCATGCTATTATAGGCCAATACCGTAAGTAAAGAGGGAGATTATGTTTTACATGCGCAAGGCTTTGCTGGTGTCGGGGCTGTCGCCGAGCAACTGACGTATGCGGACTTCCGAAGCGGATCCATTGTGAGCAAGCACTTCCAATATGGCTTCAGACCGGCGGATTAGATGAGAGGAGCTGACCGGAGCCGACGGCTTCTCTCCCTTTGTCTTCGACTTCCAGCTTTCTGAGCTGGAAACCAAGCTGCTGGAGCCACCTGACAAACACGACGAGCCTTCTGTCGTCTCCGACGAGCTACCGGACACAACAAAAGATTTCTGTTCGACGCTAGAGTTTTTCCGGCAATCGGAAATCCATAACGTCTTAGATCTGCTCTTTCTCACCACCTGCAGACAAATCCAAAAATCGATCAGTAAGAAGGCGAGACTATGAGATCACATTGATCGATAGAAATCGTATTAGCTTAGATAACTATAGCTTGTTCTTTGTTTACAATTATTGTACTCAATGCTAATAACAGAGTATGACGATGAAGGATCAGAACAGTATGCTAATGACGTAACTACGTCCGATCAAGGCGTATGTAACCATAAAATTTTAGTATAAACTATGAAAATAATTCAAGCTGAAATGAAAGAATGAATCATGAACGAAGTAATTAGGTACGTTGAAGTGTATCTGAGTTCGAGGAAGCTAAAGTAAACAGTTCACATAGAACAGAGAGTTACTAAGAAGCCCAAATTCAGGATACGAGGTTAAAATTTTCAAATAGAAACCGATTCTGAGGGAATTCATCAATAACGAATAGAATTTGCACACGCAAGTCCAATCAGAGATCTAAATCGGACTGAATTCCGGATTTTCTATCATACAGAACATCAAGTCGATCGAATCAAATGCACAAACTATATACATTTACCTTAAACTTCATCTCGTGTTCAGAATGAGCAATAGCACTAGCAACCATACGAAGACCGCATCCATGAGCTTCATCCGATGATGCATCATCGCTACTCACAGTAGACGAAGCAGACGACCTCGAACACGATTTACACACCAACAAACTCTCAGAACAATCAGAATGGCACGTACATGTGGTTCCCTCGCTGCTAAACGCATCAAATCACAACAAAAACACTCATTCATGATCCAGCCACGAATTAATTAACGTAAAATCAAACCAAATTGATGACGTTAAATTCAATTGAGTTACCATGGAGACGAGGATAGAAGGATAAGAGCTGAAGCAACGATCTCTTCGGTGGAATTTGGAAATGGTGATTCGGATTCCATTTTGTGTTACTTCAGAAGCTTTTTTGTATCAGTAACAATAGGCGGGAATGACAAATAATTTGAATTTTTGGTAAGATTTTTGCGATTTGATCTGGTTAACTGAACTCTTTCTACGATCTAAACTACTTTGTTACGACGGTTTGTTAAGCATGAGTGAGTTCGTTAACACAAATATGGGTGAAGTTTTGTGGACCCGTTTCTCGTGAAAAAGTAGAAAGTGGGCTATAAATTGACCCAAGTTATTCAAGCTCATCTTTTGCTAGAAAAATTGTGCACACAATTTGTTTAACCCATCCTTATGAAACATGGTTAACGACTTCATGATTTTCAATAACACCACCACATAAAACTAATATCATTTTTCATTAGACAGATATCTTATTGAGTTGTGCCTTTGCAAAGAGGCTAATTATTAAATATTTTCCCCCTCTTTTTCTTTCTTGACTGCTCTCTGCAAATGTGATGACCTTATAAAGATCTCCAAAATGGTTATATGCGTATATGGTAAGCCAAGATGTGATAGTCAAGTCAGCTCGTGGACTAATGTGTCCAGAAACAACAGTGGGTTTGTGGGATGGTTTGATCTCCCAATGTGTCCAAGATCAGTGGAAGTTATTCGTGGGTTGCTTAGGTCCATGAATGAGTTAAGCAAGCACTAGTAGATGGTAAGAAGTGCAAGTATTTGTTTATGTTTTGTGGGATAGCTAACAATGCGTGGATGATGATTAAGTAATGGTGGGGTGTTAACGTGGTAGGTTTTTGGAGGGTAAATGGTGGTTTTTAGTGTTTGTTGTTAGTATAAGAAATGTGTTCAGTTTGAAGTGTCGAAGTGTTTTGTATGTTTTTTGGTTCTTATATTAAATGTAATAGTCAATGCCTTAAAGGCAGATGTCCGAATTGTAAATGGCAATTTTGAAGGAATGAAAAATGATCATATGTTTGTGTACTTGTTTTGTATATGCAATGCTTGAAATCAGTATATCTAATGAATTTTTTTTTGCTATATGTGTCATTTTTTTAATTTCATTTAAATCCACTAGGCAATTTGTGGTTTTTTTTAGCTTTGTTATTAAATTATTAAAAAATCTAATCTAAAAATATAATAAAGAAAATAAGGAAACTTAAATGTCTCTATAAATTCTCACTTAATTTGTCAATTAATATATTAAATTCAATTAAATTCAAATAAACTTTTCTAATTGAAAAACATATCTTCAATTAATCTCTTTTGAGTTCACGATAATTTGTAGAAACTTTGCAAAAATTGGTTCATTAACAACCAATATTGATATTTTTTTTTAAAATTCAATGATTAACAAAATATATTAAATTTTTAAAAAAATCAGTTTATTACACGGAAATATAGTGTTGTAGTGACGTGCATAGATTTGTGTACTTGATCCTCAAGAGATGTTTTGATCATTTTGATAATGATGGTCAACAAAGGATAATGGTGTAATATGTGCTAGTGATTGTGTATATGTTAGGGGGGTTTTGTTTTATCTTTTAAAATATTTTTTAGTTTTTAGGACAAGATAAAAAAACAAAAGATGTTTAGTGATGTTGTAAAAGTTACTTTTTTATATAAAGAAAAATGAATTTTTTGGAAAAGTTACATAATCTGATTTTTACAACTTTTTCTAAAAAAACTTTTGTCTTTCAAAAGCTTAGTCGAAAAACCCCTTAGTATACTTATTTATTTTTTTTACCATTAAGGATATGAGAAAAATTGACCATTATTATAATAACATCATCAAATAACGTTGTCATAATCTTCAAACTTAAAAACACTGCATCATTCTAGGAAATTTGTGAGGGATTTAAGAGTTTATTTATGGATTTTTTGTTTTTTGTTTTATTTTATATATATGACCCAAAATTTGTCGGCTCAAAAACAACAGGATTTCTCGTACCAATGATTTGATCCTGATGATATGCACTCGGACCATTCCCCTTCCATTCTCAAGCAGTGCATAGCTATCCTGCATTCCCGTGCCACTTCAATCCACAAACTCAAACAAATTCATGCCTTTTCAATCAAACATGGCGTCTCTCTCAACAACCCAGATATGGGCAAACATCTGCTGTTCAGTCTCATCTCCCTCTCCGCACCTATGTCCTACGCCCACAAAATCTTCAAGCAAATCGATAACCCAAACATCTTCACTTGGAACACAATGATTAGAGGCTACGCCGAGAGCCAAAACCCAAAACCAGCCATGGATATACACCGCAGCATGCGGTCGTTTGCTGTCGAACCCGACACGCATACGTACCCATTTCTTCTTAAAGCCATCGCCAGGTTAATCTCTGTCAAAGAGGGTGAAGAGGTGCACTCCATCGCAACTAAAAACGGGTTCGGATCATTGGTGTTTGTCCAAAACGGTTTGGTTCATATGTATGCTGTATGCGGACGTGCTGAAAGCGCACACAAACTGTTCGAGGAAATGTCTGAAAGAAACCTCGTAACTTGGAACTCTGTAATCAATGGATTTGTTCTCAACGGGAGGCCTAACGAGACTTTAACTCTTTACAGAGACATGGTTGACGAACAGGTGGAGCCAGATGGTTTCACTTTGGTTAGCCTACTCACTGCATGTGCAGAACTCGGTGCCTTAGCATTAGGCAAGAGGGTTCATGTCTACATGTCCAAAGTCGGGTTAGCTGAGAATCCCCATGCTGCAAACGCCCTTTTGGATCTTTACTCAAAAACAGGAAACATCAAAGAAGCACATAAGGTGTTTGATGAAATGAAGGACAAGAGTGTAGTCTCATGGACTACACTCATAGTTGGCTTAGCCATGAACGGATTTGGTAATGAATCGATCAATCTTTTCAAAGAACTAGAAACAAAAAAACTTACACCTAGTGAAATCACCTTCGTAGGTGTACTCTACGCTTGTAGCCACTGTGGATTGGTTGATGAAGGGTTCAATTATTTCAAAAGAATGAAAGAAGAGTACAAGATTGAGCCAAGAATCGAACACCATGGATGCATGGTTGACTTATTAGGAAGATCAGGCCATGTACAACAAGCTTATGATTACATCATCAACATGCCATTACAACCAAACGCAGTCATCTGGAGAACCTTATTAGGAGCTTGCACAATCCATGGACATACAGGTATAGCTGAGTTTGCAAGAGCTAAACTCATAGAACTTGAACCTAACCACAGTGGTGACTATGTGTTACTCTCAAATCTCTATGCTTCTGAGAGAAGATGGTCTGACGTGTCAAAAGTGAGAGAAAAGATGTTAGCAAATGGGGTTCAAAAGTCACCCGGGCATAGTTTAGTTGAGTTGGGAAATAGGGTTTATCAATTTGTGATGGGGGAAACATCAAATCCACAAAATGAAGAAATCTACATTAAATTGAATGAGATGACAAGATTATTGAGGCTAGAGGGATATGTGCCTCATGTTGTGAATGTGCTTGCGGATATTGAAGAGGAAGAAAAGGAGACTGCTTTATCGTATCATAGTGAGAAGATTGCTATTGCGTTTATGCTTATTAATACGCCTAATGGGATGCCTATTAGGGTTGTGAAGAATTTAAGGGTTTGTGCAGATTGTCATCTTGCTATTAAACTTGTTTCAAAGGTTTATGGAAGGGAGATTGTGGTGAGGGATAGAAGTCGGTTTCATCATTTTAAGGATGGGTTTTGTTCATGCAAAGATTATTGGTAGGTAGAATATTATGTACATCTTGATTACCAATTTTGATTATGGGAGTTCTTTGTTTTTGAATTTGGTTTGAAATTATGGTTTTTGAGTTTTAGTTTGATTAGTTAAATGCCATTTGAAGTATCATTAAGCATGTAAGATAAGCATGAATGTATTTGAATGCAACAAGACATTGAATATTACAACTTCGGGTCTTTTGGTATGAACAGCTTGATAATCAAAAAGCCACATTTATCCTATTAGTGCAAGTGATGTTTTTAATCTTTCTTTAAACAAAATTCGAATAACTCTACTTGCCAGAGATATTGCTCAAGTTCCGTGTACTAAACCTGAAATTATACTGTTAATCGTTAATCACTAAAACAACCAAAGTCACTAGGATGTTATTACAAAATAATCATCTTTTGAAAACATATTTGAGAATGGCCATAATCATTATGTTACAAAATGATTATGTTTTCATATATTCTTTTATAAATATAATATATATCATTTATAAAACAATTTTTATTTTGCAAAAAAAAAAAAAAAATTGTCATATTCATTTAAAAAATAGTCATTTTGAAGATCTACTAATTTTGATGTAGTTATTAAATTAATACGAAAAGCAGAAAAAGAAACAGGAGGAGATGGCGTTTTATTATATTTCTCGTTTGGTTCCTCTTAACTACCAAGTCCAAAACCCTAAAAACCCCCGTTGTGAGAGAAAAAACTGTCAATGGCCTGTAATGGCACCGGATGTGAATCGGGTTGCTATAAAGACAGCACCGGGGATGAAGTGGAAAAATCATCCACGGAGAAGTTAAATGGTGATGTCAATGGCGATGGTAATCACCATCGCCACCAGACGACGTGTCTCAAGTGTAAGGCAGCCGAAGCCACAGTCTTCACCGGCGGGGAAGGTGGTAGCAGATTCTGTGCTGATTGCTTCCGTAGTAACCTTTATGGAAAGTTTAAGCTTGCTGTCACTTCCCATGCCATGATTTCGCCCACTGATAAAGTTCTCGTGGCCTTCTCCGGTGGTCCTTCATCCAGGTTACCTTTCCCTTTCCCGTCGACACATAGTCTGTAATTGTAAAGGCGTATTTGATCCGTTCTGTTATATTTTTGCTATGAATTGAAACGATTTCATTAATAAATATGATATATCTTGTTTTCTCCCTCTTTGACAAACTTCTATTCTTTTTATGTGTTAGGAAAGGGAAGTAGATATGTTCCCACGCTCCCTTAAATTTGATACGTAGATTACAAAGGTAGCATGTAATTAGGGTGTTCGAACAATTGAAATCATTTTGGAAACCTGGTATTGGTTTTAAGCACAAAACAGACTAAAACATCATAGTAAGAACCTATTATTTGTCAAAATAAACATCATCAAGAACATTAAAATAAGAATCAAAGAGAGACGAGACACAATGTGGATGCGAATATGCAAAAGAAGATCTTATTATTTGTTGTTTGGTTATTTTTCCCTCTTTTCAGTGCAATATTTGAATATCCAAATGTGCTTATTAGTCATTTTGAGAGTTGTGCTAATGCTTTTTTAAGTTTAATGCTACTAAAGGGTAATTAACCATACAATGATCTTTGCAGGGTTGCTCTTCAATTTGTTTCTGAGATGCAACTCAAATCCCAGACAAACTTTGATGCAACTGCAATTAGAGACAGATCTTTACCTGTATTTGGTGTTGGAGTAGCTTTCATCGATGAAACTGAAATCCATCCCATCACTTGTACTGATTTCAATAAAGCCATTGAAGACATTAAAGAAATTGTATCAAATTTATCTCCACCCAAAAAAGAATTGCACATAGTCCCAATCAGAAACATCTATTCAACAAAAACCAGTGATGGAAGTGAGACACTGAAGAATCTAATAAACACTGTTAGTGATGCAACTGGAAAAGAAGACCTTCTTTCACACCTACGTATGTTGTCCTTACAAAAGGTTTGATTTCAAAAAATTAATATCATTATCAACAAACTCATATGCATTTCTATTTCATTTATGTTTTGTATGCCATTTTACTATGCAGATTGCTATTGAAAATGGATACACCAAACTTGTGTTGGGCTCATGCACATCCAGGATAGCTTGCCATGTACTTGCAGCCACAGTCAAGGTTTGCTTTTTCTTTTTTTCTTTTTCTTTTTTTTTGGTTTCTAATCTTTGAAATTATTGGTAATATTGTATTTTAAATAATAGGGGCAAGGGTACTCATTAGCAGCTGATATACAATATGCTGATGCAAGATGGGAAATTCCAGTAGTTCTTCCCCTACGTGATTGTCTCATTCAAGAACTCAACATACTTTGCAGTCTTGATAGGTTTTTATATTTTTCTATAAATATTTGTAGTAACACTGACAAAGGTTTATGGTTTACCTATAATTTGAATAATTTTTTTTTTTAATTCATAACAGTTTGAAGATTGTGGAGGAATTTAAAGACTCTCGTGGTGGCATCAATGGTTTGGTTTCATCTTTTGTGAAACTCTTGCAGGTAAATTGTAATTTTAAATGTTACTGTTTGATATGAACAAAAAAAGTTAGGGTTTGTTTGGTATGATGGAATGGATCACAAAGGAATGGAATGGAATTCAACCTAGGAAGTAGGAAAAGGAATCACATTTTGTTGTTTGTCTCAGGAAGAAAATCCTTCTCGGGAATGCACAATTGTAAGGACTGCTGGAAAGCTGACTCCATTTCCATTCAACAAGATTCCGGAGACAAACACCGATTCCAATGATGTTAACTTGGCATCTCAAAGGCGACATAAGAAGTTTAATTTAAAGCCGATTGAATCGCTTCCTCCAGACTCATTCTGCCCTATTTGCAATAGCCCAATCACCGACTTACAAAGCATGAATTCTTTTCGTAATTCCCAAACTACCCCTGAACTTTTTGGTGCTGCTTGCTGCTCTAGTTGCCAATATCAGATACTTCCTGAGGAACTTTCGTCAATGGAGGAGTTCTATTCGTTTTTACCTGAATCTGTCATCGATCGAGCAAAAAATGGGAACCAAAAATGGATAAGGTGAGGGCGATTTAGTAATTCTATTGGTTTTTTTCTCTCTTCATATTAATGTTGGAAATGTAAATTCTTTGACAGGGAAAAGATACAAGATTGTTTGATTTTAGACGATGAAGATGAAGTTTGAGGTTCTAAATGTAGTAAGTTGCTGAAACTGCTTATTTAAAAAAGGACAAAAGAAAGAGATAGAGATAATAGTTTAATGAGAATTTTGGAAGTGTTGATAAACTTAAAATGAAATTTGTTTGGTTTTTGTTGCTTTGGGATCACAGGAGGACCATTTTTTGTTACATTCTTATGAAAGGTATTTTTGTCTTGGAGTGAATTGTGATAATGAGATATATCCAAACTGCCAAAATAAACATTCAGGATAGATGTAGATGGATTGCTAAATCACACATGTACAACATCTTTATGTTTCATATACTATTATTATTATTATGGACTACATTACAAACTTAACAACTATTTGGGGAAGATTTCAAAAAATGGAGCAAATTTGCAATTTGAGTAAAGTACAAGGACCCAATTTGTAGTTTACTCTATATATTATGGGAAGGTAGTTTGCCTGTAACAGAAGCGAGTTCTTAAATCAGTTTATATCTTAGTTAGAGTACATGCTTTCAAAATTAATATTTAAAGGCTTCTAAGTTTATATTACTCAAATTATTGGTATGATCATTAAACAATGACCTACTCGAGTTGATTTGTATATTAAGTTATCGAGTCTCTTATATGATTATAAACTTATAATATATGGGTCCTTTACACATAGCACATTGAAACAGTTATAACAAATAACTATTCTCTTTGAAAGTGACATCTCACCAATTTGTATTTTAGGGAATTTTCTCCTAAATCCGGCTAGTCAATTCAATCAAATAACCAATGATTTATAAATTCTTTTCTATGACATATTCGTGTTTTGATTTTTTTTTTTTTTAAATGTCAAGTGAGATAATATGTTTATTAATAAAATAAATAGAAAGATAATAAAATTTGCGACGGAAGTGGTTGAAGTTGATGGTTACAGGTGCTAGAGAAAGAAGGGATTGGAAACAGAGGACCCTGCCACTGCCACATCTTTCTCACATCAAAAGCACAAACCCTTCGCCTTTTCCACGTTCTCAAAGATATTTTATTTGATCTACAATAAGTTGAATACACGCCTGATAATAATGGTTAATTAACAAAAATGTACTATAAAGTGTAAACTAATTGTTTATATATATTTAGTACAAAATAACTGTTTGTTTCGTAATTTACGAAATTACTTATAATAAATTGTGATTTCATACACACTCTGTCATGGTAACTTGCTATTGATTTGGAATATTTTCATTATATATTTAATAATTAAGTGTGAGATTCATGTATTTTATGGGTTTATTTAAGAGAAAATTAAATATCAAATTCTTAATACTTAAAAAGTTTGAATTTATAAGAAAATTATATATATATATATATATATATATATATATATATATATATATATATATATATATATATATATTGAATTATTAAAATGAAAATATTTCTTTTTTCTTTTAAATTTAAACAAATCTTCCTATTCTAATAAAAGAATAAATTTATTTTCTTTTGGTCATGTATCATTTTACTAAGTCTCATAATTAATGTAATGTTACTTGTTAACCTATTGTTCTTTATTTCAAATTTCAAATCTTAAATTCATCACTCTAATTTCATTAAAGTAATAACATTAAAATTAAAATAAAATAAAGTTAATATAGATTATAAGGTGATATAATTTCACATATTTATTTAAATCAACAATTATAATTTTATATAACTAAAAAATTATCTCTTAATTAATAATTTATTTAAAATAATTGATTACTAATTTTGAGTTTTTAATTTGAAAGTTTAATTTATTTTTTAACTGTGGTTCCTACGGGTTATATACTAGTAATTTAGCGGGTTATATACTAGTAATTTAGATAAATAAACAAAAGAAACTAATGAGGATTTAATTTAACAAATTTAAAATTAGAAGGAAAATATATTAATGAAATTGATATGCATTTATTATTATTTATTATATTTAAATACTATATGGAATTTAATAAAATGGAAAAACCATAAAATGATATGTGAAAAAAAATAATAACAAGAAGAAAAAAGCATGTGGCATAATGTATTAGAATATGATAAATGGCAAAATCATTTTTATTTATTATGAATGATTGAAAGAGTTGAATTATAATTTTTATGAATTTTGTTTTACCATCTCCAAACACAAATTCTTTCAATCAAAAATAAATTCACTAAACGTTGTATTTAGATTATTTATTTGCAGTGCAATACACAACAAATTATATAAATTGTTCAAAAAACATTTCCTACCACTTCAAAGACCATTCACAAACACTACTACTCATCACCATTTAACACCACCACCTATCTCACTACCACCAAAAGCAAACACAACATAGTAGTTGTCTTTTTAACACAAGATCTTCATCTTCAATCCTTCATATATCCATTTATCTTCTTCAATAGAAGATTAAATTGCACATTTTTTTCGCCTCTCATTGCCTTTTCAATAGGGATCCTCAACAATGAGAGGAATAAGCTTCAATACCACTGAGAGTGAAGAAGAATTCATCAACAAAAATCTTGTGATACAGTGAAGAATTTGATTGACAAAAATTTGGTGAGGATTACATCCTTGTATAGTAGCAACGCAACACCAATCGTATATAAAGAACATCATCAACGTCGGGTTGAAGATGAAGGGATTTTGTCCCTCTACTTTATAAACATTTGTTCTTTTTTTGGTTTCTTTTTGTGATTATCTTGTTTTTTTTGTTTCTTGAACCAATGATTTTTTAGATCCCTAAAGTTTATCATCATCGCTAGGATCTATCGTTTTATTATAGGTTTGATTTAAAATCATAAATAGGTGAATAAAACAATGAAAAATGTCAATCCACTTAAAAAAATCTGAAACATCCCAAAATATGACCCAAAAATTTTTGTTTAAAATTTCTAAAAGTACTAAAATAATATCACAAAGTAAAACCCATAGGTCAATGTTTCATAACAGTAACTAATAGTTATGTAGAACTGTATCAAAACTATATCAATCACATTTATGAAAAACTAAAAACATCTCCCAGGACAGCTAAAACTGTGGTGTATGCGATGCCATCAACCCGAGCTCTTCCCTTTACTTGCGGAAGTACCTGAAACCAAAACTGAAACTGTAAGCACGAAGCTTAGTGAGCTCCCCCAAACTACCACATACCATACAATACATATAAACACATACTGGGCCTTGCCCACTCCATCGGACCGAAGTCCGGAAACTGCATCGGACCGAAGTCCGGAACTAGATCGGACCGAAGTCCGGAACTACTGAGGCCTTGCCTCCTGCATCGGACCGAAGTCCGGAACTAACTGCATCGGACCGAAGTTCAGAACTGACTGCATCGGACAGAAGTCCGGAACTACTGATCATAGCATAGCACAAACATATCAACTAGCATGAACACATAAATAGCATACTGCATCACGTTGTGACCCGGAACATATAACACATAATCCTGTCTGAGCCACGAAGGCTTCAAACATAATAAAATCTGTATCGGACCGAAGTCCGGAAATTACTACTAGCTATACGGGCCAACATTATGGCCTTATACCCGTTCCTATTGGAAGGAAACTCACCTCGTGATCTGGCTGCTGAGTGTATGGCTCTGGAAGCTATCTGCTGCTGCTTCGGTATCTCCCCGACTACAATTCCACAAATACACTCAATCAAAATACTAATAACTGCATTAGGGTAAAATAACTCTTTTACCCCTGGCTAAAGTCAACTCTCCTGGTCAAGGTCAACTCTTCTGGTCAAAGTCAACTTACAGTTGACCTGACTCGCCGAGTTGGGCCGCCAACTCGCCGAGTCCCTACTCTCATTTCTTAACCCTGCTTGCTGCTACTCGTCGAGTATGGCTTGAACTCGACGAGTTCCCATTTGATTCTAAAACTCAGACTATCTGCATCCGACTCGCCGAGTTGCATGAACAACTCGACGAGTTGTTCTTGAAATTATGAAGATTGTCTTAGACTTGCCGAGTTGTATGAACAACTCGCCGAGTCCTTCCATTACTGAGTCTAACCTCCGACTCACTGAGTCCATTCCACTACTCACTGGTCTCCACTCGGAATCACTCAAAGGGGAAGGATCGGGGACTCGCGACTCGACTCGCCGAGTCCGAAGAACGACTCGCCGAGTCACATGCATGCAATTACTAAAAACTCGATTCTGATCAAAACCACTGCATACAATACATAGATCTGAGTTCCTAAGGTTGGTTTACCACGTAAAGTTCCCAACTTTACGTGTACAAATGCATACAAAAGGTTATAAAGGCTAAAAAGGCACTTGGAAGAGTAGATCTAGGGCTATCATGCAAAATGGCTTCATAAAGTTGATAGATATACGTTTTTGGAACTGAAACATGGCTAGATCCGAAAGCTAATCCATCCAATATGATTTATCTACTAAGAACAAGCTAAAGAATTGGCTAAATATGCTTATAAAGGAGAATCAATCATCAAAACTGGAAGAAACCGATTATTACCTCAAGATACTCTGAAATAGGTGCGAAAACTTGGATCTTCTTCTTCTCCTTTGGATCTAGCCACATTCTTCTCTTCAAAACTTCAAGATTTAGACAAGAAAATCTCAAATACTCAATGGAATGGTTAGGGTTTGCCAAATAATGCTTTGAGGGTGAAGGAGACGAGTTTTGGGGCTCATAAGATGGTTTTAAATAGGGTGCAACCCGGGGATTTAGGGTTTCTACCTGGCAGGCCGACTCGCCGAGTCCCGAATATGGACTCGCCGAGTCGCCGATCTATACGCTGCCCAAGACCACGACTCTACTCGACGAGTCGGGCCATAGACTCGTCGAGTCCCTCTACAAACTTCTAAAATAATAAATAATATAAAGCAACATACCAGAGACGGGTCGTTACAATTCTCCCCCACTTGACTCAGACTTCGTCCTCGAAGTCTGCTACGGCTGAATCTGCAAATAACTCTGGGTAGTGCTCTTTCATCTCGTCTTCAGCCTCCCACGTCCACTCAGACCCCTTCCGGTGCTCCCACTACACCTTCACTAAATGAATTACCTTGTTCCTCAAGGTCTTTATCTTCCGGTCCAGAATCGCGACCGGCCTCTCAATATAATTCAAGCTGCTATCAACCTGAATATCTTCTAAGGGAACAACTGCTGACTCATCCACCAAACATTTCCTTAACTGAGACACATGGAAAGTGTTGTGGATCTGGCTAAGCTCTGTTGGAAGATCCAACCGATATGCAACCCGACCCACCCGGGCCAAAACCCTGAAAGGACCAATGAACCTGGGGCCCATCTTGCCCTTCTTCCGAAACCTGATGACACCCTTCCAAGGTGAGACCTTCAGAAGGACCATATCGCCTACCCGAAACTCTAAGTTTGAACGCCTCTTGTCGGCGTAGCTCTTCTGTCGACTCTACACAGTCTGCAGTCTACTACGAACCTGATTAATCAACTCGGTCGTCTTGAGCACCACCTCCGTGCTCCCAATGACTCGCTGACCGACCTCGCCCTAACAAATCGGGGTCCTGCACTTCCTCCCATAAAGCATCTCAAAGGGAGGTCGATCAATGCTCGCATGATAACTGTTGTTATATGAAAATTCCGCTAACGGAAGATACGTATCCCAACTGCCACCGAAGTCTAGAACACATGCCCGGAGCATGTACTCGAGAGTCTGAATCGTCCTCTCGCTCTACCTGTCCGTCTGAGGGTGGAAAGTGGTGCTGAAATGGAGACGAGTACCCATCTCGTCATGAAACCGCTTCCAGAATCTGGATGTAAAACGGACGTCTCGATCTGACACTACCGATACTGGCACTCCATGACGTGCAACTA